TATGAAGAAGTTACATTTCTCCTGCTTACCTTCAAAGGTAGAGTGTCTGTGTCCCCTTAACTACTGTCTACCTCAGTGGTTCCCAACATGGGGCACACACCCCACAGGGGGGGCAATTCCAAGAATGAGTTATCAACAGTGAATTTTTTGCATTTCTTATGGTTCTACGGGCCTCATATAAAGTATATAAATATAGATGGTGACATATTTATGTATTTCAGTTCTCTATTACATGTTTTGAAACTTTATTTGCTATTTCTTCATATCACTTCATGTTGTTATTTTTTTTTTTAACAATTTCTTACTTAATACTTCAACTGTCCTTTCATTCTTTTATTTTTCTCTTTCATGGGTGCCATGTTCTTTGGAAGCTTGTTTAGACAAAGTTAATGGCCTTTTAGGCTTCCTCCATGTGAATAGGAGTTCACCTCCTGAATAAAAATTCTATGTCACAGGGAAGCGGGGACATCAGGATTTTAGAGATGCTTAGGCAGGGCATGGCCAAAGAAAAGCCTGGGAACCACTGGTCTATCCTCTTGGAAAACAAACCAAATCCCATGTCTTTGTAACAAACTGCTCTGATGAGGTGGAGTAGCGAGAAGAGATACTAAGAACATCTGAGAGCCTGCCATTACGAGGCTCTTTTCACACTTTCTCACTGTTCCTTAGAGCAGCTCTCTAATAGGTTCAGGAAGGTTAAGGACTTTGCTCAAAGTTACGAAGCAATAAATAGTTAAAAACTGGTGACAGCTTCGGTGAAGGATGGGATAAAGGAACCCTTCAGAGGAGCCACAGTATAAAAAAACTTTTAGAAAATTCCAGTGTGTAGAGTAGCAGGTGAGCACAGAGCAGGTGAGCACAGAGCAGGCTACACGATTCCAGGCATTCCATCTATCCAACTCTGATGCTTACCTGAAGTTAAAAGCCTAAACCAAACACCTGTGTCAACACATAATTCTTAACCGTTTTTTAACCAAGTATTATGAAGTCTTGTTACAGTTTAAAAACTCAACTGGATATCAGCTTTTAAGAAAACAAATAGTGTATCAAATGAGTTCAAGATAAAACCCATACTTTTAAGATCTAGGCCTGCTGCATCTGGCTACTCACCAGGACTGATGAAACTGTGGAAGTCCGCTATGATACCATCTTGGAGAGAATATTTCACACAGCCTATTTCACAAGGGAGAAAGCGCTGTTCACAGTGAGGAGGCAGTTCGCCGTGGCTAAAAATGTTCAAAAAATAAAAAATGCCTCCAAGGAGAGCTAAAAAAAAAAAAAAATCACAGACAACATGAACCGATGAGCATCTCAAATTTACCCTTCTACAAAAGCAAAACTCTAGAGCCATTTTCCTTTTGTTCCTATATTCCGAAAGGAGCTGGGAAAGAGAACGAATCAGCTGTACGGGATAAGTGAATCAAAAGCTTTCCAATGGCACTTATCAAGGGTTAAAGCAGTAACCAGTCTGCATGAAACAACAAAATTATTCAAAACTTGCAGCTCACTGTATGTAATTTAGCTAAACATAAGCCCTGGAATCTCAGGAATGACCCATAGTCAACAAGTACTAGTATAAGCATTTGAGAAATGAGTCCAAATTAGTGTAGAAAAACTCTGTGATATAAACTATGGACAATTTAGTTCACCCTTCCCTGGTTACCAATATACACAAGACCATCTATAAATTTTCTTAAGGCAGTAAAAAATGTGAGGATAGGAGATTGGTCTTATTATCAGGACTAACCACCTCTAAGACTGTTGAAAGTTTATTAATCTTCAACAAAGTCAGACCACAATTAATAAAAACAGCCACACCCAGCTGGCGTGGCTCAGTGGTTGAGCGTCAACCTATGAACCAGAAGGTCACAGTTTGGTTCCCGGTCAGGGCACATGCCTGATCCCCATTATGGGGCATACAAGAGGCAGCCAATTAATGATTCGCTCTCATCAATGATGTTTCTATCTCATTCTCTTCCTCTCTGAAATCAATAAAAATAAACATATCAAAAAATAAGCCAGAAGGGAATGGCAAGGACTCTTATTAACTATGTTCTTTTCTAGGCTAGATCAATAGTTCAACTTTATCTTTATAACACAAATGTGCAAGTCCCTATTTACTTAAGTCTCTAGATATAATCACAAATGCATAAGGTATTTCTGATAATACATGAAGTGGTAGAAACCAAGAGGACAGGTTTTTGTAAAACAAAAAACTCTCCAGTGTTACTTCAACAAATGCAAATAACCTGATCTCTTGCCACATTGGTGCCATCATTCTTCAACACCTGTAATCAATTACTTTGAAATGCAGGTTCAAAATAAACACAACACGCAGTTACTGATCAACATATTACAGCGTCTTGAGCACCCAAATGTAACTAAACAAAACATGTTAGGATTACTCTACCTTGATCATTTTTCAGAGACAAGCTTGACATATCCGGGGGTGAAACATTCTGCTTTGGTACAAGCATGCCTGGCTTCCTCAGTGGGGTGCAAACAGGTTTCTGAAGAGGAAGAGAATGATTGACCACATACTTACACTCTTGCTTGGCACTTTATACCACAAACTTAAATTTAGCAAAATAGTTGGAAACCCGCCCACAGATTACTTCAATAACCTCTCCAGGCCAACAAGCCCAATGGGTAAAAACGTGAAAGGCAGACAATGGCAAAATCTATAAATATCCTGAATCAAAGGTGAGTGGTAAATACCTTAAAGTCAACCATTGCTGAGAACTACTTGATGTCCAAAGGGACATCATTCGAAAAATACTCTAATACTGTTTGCTTTTCATTAAAAAAAAAAAAAAGATCATGCTGACTCCAAGTATTAATGAGGTGTATAGACAATACAGCTTACTTTCTGATGGGAAACGCTTATAACACATTGTTATAGAAAGGAGGGGGGGAATCAAGGCTCAAAAGTATAAGTACAAATTGAAGTGATTAGAGCTTCTACCCTAACATACATCCCCCAAATAGAAACCTCGCAAACCTAAAACATAGCAAAGCTCTCTGGAATTTGAATCCGACACTGGCAGTTGAGAGGAAGAATGGACCTTCACTGTGTAAGAATGGAAAGAACACAGGAGCGGGAAACGCAGTTACCCAGCGCTTCCATACCAATCAAGAAACCAATCTTACTTGGTATGTTTACGTTCCACTTACACAGAAATTTACCAAATTCACCGTCTTCAATGCTTACCTGGACGGCATGAAACATTTGCCAACTTCTGCAAGTCTCCTTATGTCAGTATTTTACATAGGGCAGCTGGCCTGGTTCACTTAAAAAGAGATACTGGCCCAAACTACTCTAAAATGTCCGAAAAAAACGTTCTTAAACCACGAAAGGGTGGAAAGGGGCCCTCAGAGGCCCGGCGGTACGGGCCCTAAACGCCACCGCTCCCCCTGCATCAGGGCTCACGGGCGGCCGGTTCCCTGATGGGATTTCCCTGGTCTCCGCTGCCAGAGGATACCAACCTGGGCCCTCGCGGGGGGGCCTGTCGGGTTCATAACCGGCATTCTGACACCAGGAGGAAAAACTGACAACCTCCTCACCCCAACGCCCAGCCATCTGCCCGACGAGCTCCCATGAACTATCCGGCACCTACTCCCCGGTCCGGAAGCCAGGCCCGTAGCTGCTCATCTCGGCGACCCTTACCTGCTTCTCGGAAGGTCCCGACTCCTTCCCCTGGGCAGCTCTCCATGCTCGAGCCATGTCTGCGTACTTCTCCTTTTCGTCCTGGCTCAGGAGCTTCGGACATTGCAGGGGAGACACGAAGGGAAACAGCAGTGAGGCCCGAGCGCCCCGGCCCCGCAGGCGGAGGCCTGGACTTCGAGGGGCTGCGGTTCAGGCGTCCGTTTGCCCCGGCGGGTGTAGGGGGTTCCCCTCCCCCTG